AGTATTCAGTTTGTGCAACTGGAAGGGAGATGAGTTATGTTCTTCTGAGACCATATATTGAAGTTACCTAACATTTGGTGCAATCTAGTCCTTTCCTGAACCCAAGGAAAGTGTTCCAAATGTGTATATACAAGCCCCAGGGACTAACTGTCTCTGCTAGGTATGATTAAGCATATTAAGGGTGAACTTCAGTTTCACTGGTTGACTCTCACCAGTTCACTGCAGCACTTTACAGCAAACGCCTCATTTGGAACATGAATTCATCCAGAGCAGACGTTCTTAGTAGTCTGAGAGCCTCTCATGTCAACAGAAATATGGCTGGTCACACAGACTTGGCTCTCTTTTGCATTTCTAGCTATTTGATTGCTTTATAATACAACTGCCTATATACTGAAAACTCTCTTAATATTACTGTACAGGAAATCACTGTAGTTATCACAAGTCTGCTATGTGATTGCAAATGGGAAGAGAAAAAGTTATGAATGAGGGAAACATCATTTTCACGTTGCAGCAAAATAAGGCTTATTTGCTGACATTCAGTGGAAAGCTGACCCGTGGCATCACTAGAAAGACTAATCCTTTGCTATAGTGTTTTGGGAGTTGATAATTTATTTGGCCATATATACATAAACCAAGTACTTGTCCTACAGACCTGCTCTGAAAACCCTGAGAGCTGATTAGGACACCGTGTGCTAGAGCATATAACCAAACTATTCTGTTTACTATTCGGCCTCAGTGAGTGACGTACCAGCCTTTTACAAAATTACTTGTTCAGAAACAAATTATTTATGAGTCATTGCTCTCTGCCAGCAATTGTGCAGAGTTGTTTCATGTGCCGGTAACCTTGGATTTTCTTTTACATCATTTAACTACAATTTTACATTCTAAGATTACAGATTTTTTTATATAATATATACAAACAAAATGGAAATGAAATACAGAGGATACTTTTCAGTAAGCAAAAAATAGATACTAAATGAAAAATGGATGTGACAACTAGCAGCTCTGCATGGACCTCAATTATTACTCATATTCCAAGACTTGAAGCAGAGATGGAGGTGGGGCAAATGTGCCTAAGTTATATTTGTGCTCCCTGAATACTGGGCTATTCAGCACTCTATCTTCTCATAGAATCATAGAACTGGAAGAGACCTCAGAAGGTCAAGTCCAGCCCCCTGCTCTAGGCAGGACCAATTCCAACTAAATCAACCCGGCCATGGCTTTGTCAAGCCGAGACTTAAACACCTCTAGGGATGGAGACTCCACTACTTCCCCAGGCAACCCATTCCAGTGCTTTACCACCCTCCTAGTGAAATAGTTTTTCCTAATATCCAACCTGGACCTTTCCCACCACAACTTGAGACCATTGCTCCTTGTTCTGCCATCTGTCATTACTGAGAACAGCCTCTCTCCATCCACTTTGGAACCTCCCTTCAGGAAGTTGAAGGCTGCTATCAAATCCCCCCTCATTCTTCTCTGCTGCAGACTAAACAGACCCAAGTCCCTCAGCCTCTCCTCATAAGTCATATGCTTCAGCCCCCTAATCATTTTGGTTGCCCTCCGCTGGACCCTCTCCAGTGCATCCACATCCTTTTTGTAGTGGGGAGCCCAGAACGGGACACAATACTCCAGATGCGGCCTCACCAAAGCCGAATAAAGGGGAAGCTGGTATAAGCTGGAGTAGCTGGAGTAGCTCAGAGGCTACTCTAACTCAGTAAGTGTCTCATTGTGGCCATATCTACACTACGTGGAAGATCGACGTTGTCACAGTCGACCTTCTGGGGTTCGATTTAGCGGATCTAGTTAAGACTCGCTAATTCAAACTGAGAGGGCTCCTCCATCAGTGCCAGTAGTCATGCTTCTCACAAGGAGTAAGGGAAGCCAATGGGATTGTTAGCTTCTGTTGACCTGTTGTGTGGATTGAACGAAAACGTGATTTAATATATTTTAACTCCAGTTATGTAATTAACATAGCTGGAGCTGCGTATCTTAAGTCAGCTTTCCCCTTTAGTGTAGACGAGGCCTTGTGATCCCAGGGAAGCAGTAAGTAAACATAATTGCATTCTGCCCATGAAAGCCACTAATATGGCTCTCACACCAGGTGCTGGGGATGTAGGTTTGTATATAGCTAAAGCCCTATCCAATTCACAGCCATGAAAAATACATCAGAGATTATGAAATTTGGTCTTTTATGTGCTTTTACTTTATACTGTACAGATTTCATGGGGGGCAACCAGTGTTTCTCAAACTGGGGGTCTCACGGTTATTTTAGGGGAGGTGGTGTGCAGTATTACCACCCTGACTTCTGCCCTGCCTTCAGAGCTGGATGGCTGAAGACTGACAGCTGTTGGTGGAGTCCCAGTTCTGAAGGCAACACAGAAGAGAGGCTATCAGAAGCAATGCAGAAGTAAGGGTTGTAGTACCACAGCTCCCCCTACAATAAATTTGCAACCTCCCCAGCTCCTTTTTGGGTCAGGACCCCTACAATTACAATACTGTGTAATTTCAGACTTAGGTAGCTGAAATCATTATTATATTTAAAATCCTATGACTGTGAAGTTGACCAAAATGGACCATGAATACAGTAGATCCCTATATATTACACTAACATCAGCTCTGGCTGTTTGGGGTGGCCACCTGCACAGAAGGCAGTTTGCAATCCCTTAATGGTCTTTTATTGTGCACCAGTATGTGTTTCTATCTAACCTCTGTGATCCTATATGTTTGTGTATAATCTCAGAAGTAGGATGCTGCCAATCTCTACAGTCAGATGCACTCTATCTTCCTCGCCGAGCTATTGTTTGTGACAATGACTCACTACAGCACCATCCAAAAAGTATCTTCAAACTGAAGCTGTATCAAAACTATTCCCATTTGTATTATCTATATATATAGTATGCCTACACTAGAGCTTTGTCGGAAAAACGGCCATTTTCCCAACAAAACTTGAGGAACGTCCACACTGCACTTGTGTTCTTCCACAAGAAAATCGAAAGAACAGAGGGGTTTTTCCAACATCAGTAATCCTCATTCTACGAGGACGAAGCATTTTTGTGAAAGAGTTCTTTCACAAAAAGGCGTGTGGACGGGGAAGAGCGAGTTCTTTCAGAAGAAGAGGAAAGAGAAAAAGGCACAAGTGCCTTGGTAGCCATTCCGTCGACAGCAATCAAAGCTTACATACGAGAGAGCATCTGTTTAGTCTGGTATCAGCGGGGTAGCCGTGTTAGTCTGAATCTGCAAAAGCGGCGAGGAGTCCTGTGGCACCTTATAGACTAACTGAAGTGTTTAGTCTGGACGCTCTCTTCAGACTTTTGCAGTGTGGATGCTCTCTTTCAGAAGTTTTTTCGGAAGATCTCTTCCGAAAAAGGTTTCTTCCAAAAGAAGCCTGTAGTCTAGATGTTTAAGCTTTGCTTAAATTTATAACAACTTTATGTTGAATGCTGAAGCTATCTGTCCATGTGTCATCTTTAGACCAGTAAAGCCAACAGCTTTTCTCATTGCTGCACCTGAAAACGAAAGAGAAGAGTTATCCCTTGGTCAGCTCTGTTGGTTACCTCTGAAGGTCTACTCACTATTTGCACCTTAAAGTTCCATTGACAGACTCATATTGATATGTGTCTATATGGAACAGGGGCCATTAGAATGCATTGCAGGGCAGGGAGATAACACTAATGTATGGGATTGAAGAATGAGAAGGTACATGTAGTAATATATTAATAATTAACGGCTTCTTTAGCCTGTTGGCAATGGAACAAAACCTGATCTCAGGACAGAGACCAAGTAAGTAGGCTGCAGGCTAGGGAGTTCTGTAGGGGCCAGGGAGAGAAAGACTATTCCACTTATATGCCACAGAGCAGCACTGGAACCACTTTAAGTGCTATTCTTCAGGGAGGAAATGGCCAGTCGATCCCAGGATACAGAATGGGTGAGGAACCTCGGGACCGGCCCCTGGCGTTACTGAATCCAGCCCCCGAGGTCCAGCTCCACCACCACCCCAGCGTTGAGGAGCCCATGCTGGCACTCCAGCCCCACTGCTGCCTCATTGTGGGGCTGGAGACACTAAATCTACTACGGTGCTGTCCTTTAGTTTCTGGTATGGAAGGAGAATGTGGGGAGTCTTTCTCCTTCTCAGTTAGGGGCCACATCAGTGAGGGGGTTTTGTTGCAGTTTGTTTGTTTGCTTGCTTCTCACTTGTATGCGGTCTCAAGCTGATTTTTATGTGAGAGTCAGTGGGCCCCTGACTCAAAAAAGGTTCCCCACCCCGATGTAGAAAGTAGAATTGTGGGTCACCTTACTCCTGTTCCTCTACCTATTGGTGCTGATGGGGAATAGTTGTAGGGATGTAATACATCTATCACCCTGTATGAAGCCCTGGCATCCTTTCCTATCCATGAGGTAAGACACTACCACTTTCGCTGTAGTCAAACTCCATGTCTGCTACAAGGGTATGGGCTGGCATTTTCCACAACATAGGGAAAGTGTTTTTTGTTTTGTTTTTTTAATAAAACAGACAAATGAGTATGAGGGCTTGTCTTCTCTGCTGCAGAGATTGACACTGCAGCGGTTGATCTTCCGGCATTTGATTTAGTGAGTCTAGTAAAGACCTGCTAAATTGAACACTGATGACACTCCTGTCAACTATGGTAGTCCTCGCAGTCACAAGGAGTAAGGGAAGTCGATGGCAGCATTTCTCTCATTGACCTTTTGCTGTGGGGCCACCCTTGAAAATCAATGTAAGGTATGTCAATTCAATCTATGCAACTGTCATAGTTGGAACTGAGTATCTTACATTTATACTCTCAGCCAATGTAGACCTGGCCTGAGTCTCATTCATACTTGTGATGAGACTAGAGTACCAGATCATAAATTTGAAAAGTCTTAAACAGCCCTTTTCTACATCTGGATATTAACAACTTTTTAATTAATATATACTTTTTGGAAAAAATGAAAGTTTTGAATATTTGAGAAAATAAAAATGAATAGAAACATAACTATAAACATTGTGTGCATATGTTTATACATCATCTCTCTAATACACCTTACAATAAGACACACCAGTTTCTACTGTGCAATTTATTCAGCTTCATATTAAAAAAAATTACTAAACTGTTGACAATTCACATGCATAATTTTTTTTCCGTTTTAGGCTGAACAGGCTTTTAGGACAGACAGACAAACATTCTGGATGTATGTATGTTTGTTTTTCAAAGGCCATCATTGACTGAAATTTTACATTTGTTAACAAATCTAGTGAAAGTGAGTCCTGGGTAGTATTTAGTTTCATTCCTTTTTTTCCAGTAGTGTATAGCAGATGGAGGACAGTGTGATTTGGAATGAAAAGTAATCTTCAGCAAAAGTTTTCTTCAACAATGCCTTGATTTGGAGTGCTGAATAAGCCATTGTAATGTTATGTCTGCAAAGACAGATAAAAAATAATCTATGAAGGAACATGAAAATGCTAGCCGGTTGTTAAAATAAAAAACCAGAACCCTCACATATAACTTTATATCTATTTCAAAATGCAGTTTGATTCATGATTGGGCTTTTTTGTTGCTTTTGTTTTCATTAAATGTATTTAGTATTTGTGAAAGGTGAACTGATAACCTTAGAGACTGAAGTCCTCTAAAAGGGTATGTCTACACCAGGTCTGGGCAAATTACGGCCTGCAGGATGGATCCGGCCTGCCAAGCCACCGGAACCGGCCCTCAGAGGCAGCAGTGAGTCCCAGGCAGGCTCCCCTGCTTGCTCCGCAAGCCCCACCTGCCATGCAGAAACGTGGCTGCAAGGCTCCGTTTCTGTTTAGAAATTGGAAGGGATGGAGGAAGTTTCAGGAGACGTCCCGCCTCCAACACAATTCCATTGGATGGTTTCTGGCCAGAAACCAGCCAATGGGAGCTGCTTGTTTGAATAATAGGCAGCCAAGAAGAAGCATTCCCCCTCACCTTGGCTCAGTTATTCAATGAAGCGCATGGCCAGCCAAACAGGCTGGCTGGCTGGGAAACATTTTAAGCTCTGCAAGCCTTAGCTCTGCAGGCAGGTAGGCTAGTTTGGCAGCTGGCATGTAAGTCTCCTGGCCACAGCCTGCTTCTGGCACCCCCGCCCTTTCCTGCCCCAATCCTCTGCCCCCTCCCACTCAACATACTCAAACCCTCTGTCCCCCTCTGATACCCATACCCCCTCCCAGATCTGGTACCCCAATCTCCTGCCCCAGATCATAATCCCCTCCTACCCTAGATCACCCAAAGCCCCTGCCCTAAGTAACAACCGCCTCCTTCACCTCAACTCCCTCCCAGACTCATCTCCCTCCTGCACCCCAATCCCTTACCCCAAGCTCCCTTCTGCACCCAATCTCCATCCCAGACCCCGCATCTCCTCCATTAATATTCTGGAAGAATGTGGCCCTCGACCACATTCCAATTTCTTGGAGTGGCCCCCACTCGAAAATGATTGCCCACCCCGGTCTACACTCCAGTTAGCCAGCTGACTCAAGCTCACGGAGCTCAGGCTGTGGAGCTATTTCACTGCTGTGAAGACTTCGGGGCTCCTAAGACCCTGTGAGATGGGAGGGTCCCAGAGCTTGGGCTACAACCCAAGCCTGGAAATCTACATTCCAATACAGCAGCCCATAGCCTGAGTCAGCAGGCCTAGGCCAGAAACAGGTTTTTAACTGCAGCACAGACATACCCTAAACCACATTGTGGTACATAGGTCGAAAGAATAAAAATTCAAGATGACCATAAACGAGAACTGCAAAGTCCAGAAAGGAATTAAATAAAGCAGAAGTTTCAACACAGGCTGCGATCCAGGATTAGAGTTAAGGAGTATGTTCTGTACAGATACAATTCACATGCATAAACTGTGCATGTATATTGGATCACATGTGGATGTAGATATAAGCAGACAGAAATCTGTATCTGTTGATCTGCAGGTCTCTACTCCCAGGAGACACTGCAGCCAAAGGAGAGTAACATGATGCTGCCACTCCTGGGAGACAGCGCCATGCGCCCACAGCTCCTCCTGACTGTGCAGCTGTACCAGCTCCAGCTCCACCACCAGCGGGGCTGTAAGTCCCCAGACAGAAGAAGCAGCTGATAGCAGGGTTGGCAGTGGCACAGCTGCCTGACTGGGAGGAGCTGCTGGTTCAGGGTGCTGGCTCCTTGGAGCAGTAGCAGCATGGTCCTCTCCTTTGGCTGCAGTGTCTCCTAGGAGCAGAGATCTGTGGATCAGGAGATACCGATTTCCATCTGCGGACATCTGCTTCTGTAGGTAGAAATTTGTATCTGCACAGAGCTATAACAAAAGGTCCAGTATTGCAAGTAAGCTGAAAGCCACACTGGAAGTAAAAAAAAAAAAAAAAGGTTAGGCAACCTTTTTCAGAACCAGGCTGAGGAAACAGACTAGGAATGAGTGAGCCAAGTGCAGAAGGGTTTGTTTAATTAGGTGTCACAAGGTGAGGTGGTGGCAGTGTGTGAAACAGGAAGGGACCTGATAGAAATGGAGCAGTTTACAAGGACATATGCAGAGCATGACACGGTGTCTAGAAAGAATAACTTAAGAGTCAATCGGGGGTATAGTGAGGAAGTAATTTCATTCCTCAAAGAGGTGAGGTAATTAAGTATCTTTATGGAGATGTTTCAGGTAGTTCTGGGCTATAGTTAATCAAGGCAGAACCATATACTTGGATTCTAAACCAAAATGGTAGTTGCCCAGGACCACATAGTATATTAGGGTGCATCTATACCGCATCATTATTTCAAGATAACTAACGTTATTTTGAAATAACAATGCGAGCGTCTACACAGCCATTCCATTATTTTGAAATAATTTCAAAATAACAAATGACGTATTCCAAAATCTGCAAACCTTATTCTACGAGGAATAACACCTATTCTGAAACAGCTATTTCGAAATAAGGTGTATGTGGATGCTCCACTGCTGCTATTTCAAAATAGCCTCTCACCAGGGCCATTTGAAGTTATTCCTGCCCAGTGCCTTCTGGGGCTCTAAATCGAGATAGCATGTCTACATTAGGGAAGCCTGCTTTGGACTAATTGTGAGGCTTCCCTGCAGTGTAGACATGCTATTTCAAAATAAGCTATTTTGGAATAATTATTCCAGAATAGTTTATTTCAAAATAAGCATGAAGTGTAGAAGTAGCTTAAGTGACAGATGACAGATTCTAGTAGCATGGCTCTGCTGAGCTTGTGATCTAGGAAGTGTTTCCAGGGCTATCATTTTTTTCTACTTGACCAGCTTCTCAGGTGAGGTTTCAGCCCTCATCGCTTTTCCATTCTTCACAGGATTTGAATGCTCAAACATTTCTAGTCCCCTGTTCTTGCATCTATCTATTCTCTGGGATCTAACAGCATCATCACCACAATTATGACACGCTGACTAGCAGTTTATAGGGCTGATCTCCAGAAAAAAAGAGGTAGGTTGAGAGTGGTAATGTCTTTTCTTGGACCAACTTCTGCTGCTGAGAGAGACAAGCGTTTATTGGACAACAGAATTTGATCCAGTAAAAGGTATTACCTCGCTTACCTTGCTTCTCTAATATTCTGGGACCAACATGGCTAAGATATTGCATACAACAAAAGGAGAAGAGTTGTAATTTTGCTTTTCTTTGACTATAACTCCAAGGTGCTAATGTGATAGTAGTTTTCTTTGTTCCCCTGTGCAGAGCAAAAGTTGCAGAAGTGAGGAGAAACAAAAACTGCTACAGTCTGCATTAATTTGAGATGTGAGCAGTCATTACTGGGGTATGTTTCAAGGCCAAGATCTTCACAGGTAGTTTACTCTTTTGGATTCTTTACAAGTGACCCACTCCCAGATGTGATATGCTCAATATGGGAATTCTCACAGCTTCCCTTACCATATATCAGGCTCTAGAGTATTGGGATGGTGGGGGAGTACTGGGTTACTGCAAGGTAATCATTTCTATTGCTCTGCCAAGGACACAGTGTTATATCTCCTTGCTCTGCTCTGCTCCAGCTATATATATGGCAGAAGAGTCCAGCAACTCCTTAGTTGGTATAAATATATATAACAGAGAGGTAGCCGTGTTAGTATGATCTTAGTAAAACAAAAAAAGCAGTCATGTAGCACTTTAAAGACTAACAAGATAGTTTATTAGGTGATGAGCTTTCGTGGGGCAGACCCACTTCTTCAGATCATATTCTGAAAGTGAATTGGCATGACCATTATATAACAGAGGGATACAATGAAAAAAGTAAACAAATTACAAACTAACGAATCAGCTACATAGAACAAACATACATTGTTCTATGTAGCTGATTCATTAGTTTGTAATTTGTTTACTTTTTTCATTGTATCCCTCTGTTATATAATGGTCATGCCAATTCACTTTCAGAATATGATCTGAAGAAGTGGGTCTGCCCCACGAAAGCTCATCACCTAATAAACTATCTTGTTAGTCTTTAAAGTGCTACATGACTGCTTTTTTTGTTTTACTAAATATATATAATTCCCCTGGAGTCCCCATTGATTTACACCAGCTGAGGGTCTGGCACTATTTTGCTAACAAATGGAAAAACATCCAATATTTAAATAATGAGTCTGGAGAAGTGGTATCCAAACTCAAGGGCATTCCAATAAAGCAAATTTAAAGCCTAAAAGTCTGCAACAGTTCCTCGGGGTAACATCTACTTGACAACTGCCCACAGAGACAATGCCTATCCATCTCAAGTTTATTACATATCATCTACAGCTGCTTCCCGAGTTACAATCACCTCCATTTATGACCATCCGCACTTACGATGAAAGCGGTTGTAAATGCAGATCCGAGTTGTGAACGGTGAGCCGCGCTTACAAACAGCGCCGTCGCCATGTAACTCTATGGCATCAGTGTTACGAACACTTTAAGTTACAGACTAAGTGTTGGTCCGTAACTTGCTCGTAACTTGGAGAGCGACTGTAGTAAACTAATAGATAACATACTGGTATCTGTCTATCCTGGTAATAACAGGGTTAAAGAACCAAAGTTGTCTAATATATATATGTTTAAGATGCATCTTCAAGGGTTCAGTTAAACTAAGGTAATGATTTTCTGAATAAATGAATCTTTCCAGATGACTAGTCCATTTGCTTCCTAAAATTTCTAGATTGGGTTAGAAGGATGTGATTTTATACCAAGCTCGGGTCAAAACTTCTCCAACTATAAAGGTAAACAGATTTTCAAAGCTACCTAAAGAAGTAGGATACTCACTCCCCATTAAAACCTAGGTTATAATGCAAGTAATATACAGAAAGCATTGTCAAAATAACATGCTTACCTATGTTATCCTTTTCTTTACAGGAAATAGAATAGCAGCAGATTTCTCGGTCTTGAATAGCTGAAAGGTTTCTGCAGAAAGAAAATTCTATTAAGTAGTTTTATTACTCTACAAAACCTGAGCCAAGCATTTTCCACACAATCCAATAAATTACATGCTTGCAAATTTGTATTCCAAGGGCCAAGACTCTAACCTCTGATATGCAACTTTAAAACTTTCATTATACTTAGAACTAGGGCTGTAAGTTAACTGTGCAATTAAACAATAATAAAATATAATTTACAGGTTGGACTTCCCTGGACCAGCACCCTCAGGACCCGAAAAGGGGAAGTAATTTCTGGCCCTCCCTGCCAATGGCTCCCCAGCCCAGCTTTGCTCCTGGCCTAGCCTCCCAGTTGGCTCCCCACCTGTTACCAGCTCTGCTGCCCTGCCACGACAGTGCACGGTAGGGCTCCCAGCCCCACTGCTGGAGCTCCCAACTCCAACAGTCCTGCCATGGCAGCATCTGCACTGGCCCCACCAGCCCGTGATCCTACTGCTCAGACTCCTGGTCACACCGAGGCAGACCACTGCTCAGCCACCAGGGTTTCTGGACTCACCAGCCCTACTCTGGCAGCACCAGCCCCGCTGCTGGGGCTTGTGGCCCTGCTCTCCCTGCTGCAGCCAGCCTGGCTGGGTTCCTGGCACCAGCAGGGCTCCTGACTCTGGCACTCCACTGGGATACTCTGGTTCAGCAACATCCATGGTATAGACCAGACAGTCCAGGTTGAGAGACTATTCAACCTCCTATTTAAATATTTTTGCAAGTTTTCTATATTTTCAAACATATTGAGTTCAAATACAACTCAAAGTGTACAGTGCTCACTTTACATTTTTGATTAAAGTATTTGCACTGTAAAAAATTAAATAAATAGTATTTCAATTCACCTAATAAAGTACTGTACTGCAACTTCTTTTATTTTGAAAGTTGAACTTATAAATGTAGAATATGTACATTCAAAAGTCAAATTAAAAACTAAACCAATATAAAAATTAAGAGCTTATTAAGTCTACCCAGTCCTATTTCTTGTCCACTCACACAAAAGAGTATGTTTACATTTGCAGGAAATAATGCAGCCCACTTCTTGCTTAAAATTACACCAGAAAGTGAAAACAGGTGTGCAGCTATAAAACAATCTATATTTCTATATTGCACTTTCAGGATAAAGAGATCTCACTACAGCACTTGTGTGATGGAAATGGAAAGATACTATTTCTTATTATTTTACTGTTCAAATATTTGTAATAAAAATAAAAAGTAAAAACCGTACACTTTGTTTTCTGTGTTGTAATTGATAATACATAAAATATTTCAATTGGTATTCTATTGTTTACGGTGTGATTAAAACAGTGATTAATCATGATTAATATTTTGAGTTAACTGCACGAATTTACTGTGATTAATCAACAGCTCGACTTACAAGTGCATTTTTAAAGTGTTAAAATGTTTCAAGGGCTCCAAAGCCTTTCTGATTAAGCCTGGTTTAATAAAGAAAAATAGAAAAAATGGCCCTCATATGTCTGAGAGAATATTTCTTAGTGGTAAATAGGAAACAGTGCCTCATTTTTAAAGGTCAAATTTCACGCTTTTGTATCAGAAACCAAAATATATTATGAGTTTATTACATTTTGCAACAACAGTATTCAGAGGAGCTCAACAGTAATCTTTGGGATGTGCACAACACTCATACAAAGTTTACTAGGTTAAAAACTAAGGTACCTATTATTCCTATATAAATATTGATGCTGTCTCAGAAAAATAATCTGTATCTTATATAATATTGTTAGTCTCTTCTAGGAACTTATATGGCTTTAACTATTTAGTGTCTGAGTGTCTCACAGCCCGTAATGTATTTATCCTCACAACACCCTTGTGAGGTATGGTACTGTCATTATTACCATTTTGTAGATGTGGAACTAAGAGGTTAAGTGACTTGCCCAAAGCCACATAGGAAGTCTTTGATAGAGCAGTAAATTGAACTGAGATCTCATGGGTTCCATTTAGTGCCCTAACCACTGGACTATCCTTCCTCTCTGAATTCTTTTTCCAAAGGATTCCATCCCACTAATGAAAATGATGGTTTGATGCACAGAAACATATTTAAGCACAATTACTGCTGTATTGGCAAGGTCCTTCCAAATTCAGGGTCCATTTTGGTCAATTTCATGGTCATTGGATCTTAAAAGTAGTCAGTTTCAGATGTTTACATCTGAGATTTCACAGTGTTGTAATCAGGGGGATCCCAACCCAAAAGGGGGTTGCAGGTTCCCACCCTCACTTCTCCACTGTCGGCTGAATTAAAAATGCAGCATCTGCAGAATTTCTTGCAGCCAGGGTAGGTTTCCAAGGGTCGGTCTGATCTCTCCTGTGTTGTTTGGAGTGTCCCAGTCAGGGGCTCCTAGCTGCTAGTTCTTGGGAGAGTATGGGAGGGACAGGACTTTCTCTTCTCTTACAGGGCTGCTCTTGGGAGGAAATCCACTCCACCTCTGGGTAACTTATCGAGCTGCAGGAAGCTTGCTGAAGAGTTTCTTCAGCTGGGGATGTGCCTGGAGATTAGTCTGATCCCCACCTGAAAGCACTCATGCAGGAGAAGAGGAAGTCTCATCCCTACCCAGGCCAACAGACTAGCAGATGGACCCTGGTATATGGCAGAAGCCTCTGGTTGGGAGCATGCAGCCCTGCCCCCTTCCTTCATATAGCTAAATTTCACTGGGGAGATCTGATTTAATAGATCATAGCATGTTTTCACAGCCATTAATTTGATAGATCCTTGTAATGGAATTCTTTGTACAACAGTAGATTTCTCTTTCTCAGCATAAGCAAATTTCAATAATTTTTTTTAGAAAAGTGCACTTTGGTTGCATGCCAAAAATATTGAGTTGCTGAAGTTTAGAGACAGTCATTTCAAATTACTCTATTGTAATGCCAGTAAAGCATTTAACTCCCATTGTGATGGAAAATGGACAGCGTGAAATGGATTACTCTTTATATTAGTTGCATCTCCCATGATGGGTAAAAATATATCTCAAACAACTTTACACAATTGAAACTAAGAGAAGGTAGAAGGAAAGATTCAATATTGATTTCCTCAGTCATCTGATAACGTAAAATAGAATCTGTAGCTGCTAGCCACTGCAGCATACTTCTAATGATTTTTCCTTTTTACAACATTACAGGCAGTCCCCGGGTTACGTACAAGAAAGGGACTGTAGGTTTGTTCTTAAGTTGAATTTGTATGTAAGTCGGAAGTGGTACATATTGTAGGGGAAACTCTAGCCAAACATTTCTCCAGAGCTCAGTTTTATTCTCCCACACCTCACTTCCCTCAGTCCTTTATTCTCAAGCTGAGGTGTCTGCTGAGAAAAGCCGCTCCGCGTCTCCCTGGTCTGCTGGGGGGAAGCAGCTAGTGCGGGGTTGCCTCACCCCGTTTGTAAGTAGGGATCCCATGTAAGTCGGATCCATGTAACCCGGGGACTGCCTGTATTTCAGAATGCCCAAGCTATTTAGATAGGCCAGCCACTTACAATTTCTCAATTAGCTGTTTTTCATCCAGTGCACCGGGAAGGTCTCTTTTATTTCCAAGGACTAACACCTGTGAAATAATTCACATTCAAATTAATGCAAATAATGTCATGTAATTTGTTTAGTTTTATGAACTATTTACTATCACAAGTTCATTCTATTAGCTTTAACACTTAAACATTTAAGACATGATGGCCTACATTCTCAAAAGTGACTAGTGATTTTTGGGTGCTAGACTGAGACACACGTTAAAAGTAGGGATGTTAGTAAATAGGTGTTTAAATGATTGACCAATAAGTCTAGGCTACTACACACAACCCCCTTCCTCCCCGCTGCCTCTGAATCAGTGTCCATGGGCTGGCTCCCTCACATGCCAGCGCCCACTGAGTCTCCTCCCACCCCCTTGCTGCTCACGGAGGGCAGGATGGAGCTGGAGCTTGGGGGAAGCCATCTTAAAAGCACAAGCACCAGCACCGGCTCCTGGGGAGTCACCTGCTACCTCAGAATACTGGCTCTGCAGAGCTGCCTGTCTCCCCTCCTCCTCCCCTTGCTGCCTCACACAGAGGTAGCAGGAAGGACAGGCGGAAGCCAGTGCTGGGAGGGTGGCTTAAAAGAAGGCTTCCCGTGAGCACTGGCTTCGCGGATCCACCTGACTCTACCCTCGCTCTGCTGCTTCTATATTAGAGGCAGCAACGTATCAAAGGCAGCAGCACCGGGTGGGGGGCAGGCAGGATGTTGGCGCAGCCTCTGTCACCAGGGAGCTCAGCTCCCCAGCAAAAAGGGGCTGTCACTGCACAGAGGCAGCAGTGCAGGGTGGCAGGCAAGAGCTGGTCTGCATGGGGAGCTGATTTTTAAACCGGCTCCCCTCATGGACTGGCTTCTCCTGCCTCTCCTTGCTGCTTGCCTCTGATACAGAGGCAGCAGTGCAGGATGGAAGGGGGCTCCCCAGGAGTGGGTCCAGGGGCTGGGAGCCAGGAACACACTGGCTGCCAGCCCCACTCCCAGAGAGTATTTTAGTAACTGTGAAACCACTAAAAAACGTTGCGGCTACACAATTACTAAAATACATGATATCTAACATCCCTAATTAGAAGGATTTGTTTTTTACAAAAAAGCTGAGAACTTGCATTCTGAAAATCACACTCATTGTAAGGTGTTTCAAAGTTAAGCATACAAAAAAGCAGCAAGTATCACATTCCTCCAGTACCCCTTCATACAGAAGCTTTCATAGGATCCTCCATTTAGAAAAAGATGAGAAGTAAGGGATAGGAGAACTAAGGGGAAAAAAACAATAAGCAGATGCTTGTGCTCATGTTACTGCATGAAGAATACAAAGTGCACTATGTATAACTTAACACTGGATACATTTCCTGTGTATTTTATGGAAGATAACATAAGAGATAGAGGAGTGGTAAAATCATGGTCACATTACTGCTTTTAACATACGTCACAACTGCAAATCAAAGTCCCAATTAAAATTAAATTACACATTAAAATTAATTCCTTGCCATTCTTAGGTTAATACAGCTGTCTTACTATTATGCTGAGGAAAAACTACAGTAAATAAAGAACCACTCAATACTAGCTACTTTCAACAAAATAATAAGTAAAACCAACATACTATTGCAACCTGAAAATGTAGGTGGTACAAAAGGAGTGGCATTTGTTATGCACTGCTAATTTCAGATACCAACTGAGCACGGAGGAGGGGAGATACGGGTTGGAGGAGACAAAAGCAAAGGGACACAACAGTATGTGAATAGCTGACAAAAAAACTGAAACAGGACCTCTCTACTTTTTATCCCAGTCCTTGTAAATCCTGACTGTAGCTCTACCGTCTCTTCCTTATTGGACTGTTCCAATAACATGCAGGAAGGTTACAGAGGGGGTCTGAGAGGATAGGATCAGAAATTGTGCCTGAATTCATTCTGTAAAACTCAGTTGATTGCAGTGATTTGGGTACCAGATACCTGTCTATTCCTTTCCACACTGTTAGCTAGCATTTTCCTAGGTCAATGATGGATCAGACCTGAAATTAGCTGTTACAGAAAAAGCTTAGGTGCTAGGCAACAGCCCTGCTCTTTATCCTGGATGAGAGTTTAACAATCTATTTTCTTTCCTAAAACAGCATCCCCAGCGTGGACAGACCCCATGTCCTCATTTGTTGTTATCAGTACCCAGAGTAAAGGATGAGATAAGGCTGAGGATAACCTATTCTAAAATAGCAGATTATCTTTAACAAAACATTTGGTTCCACTTTTTCCTAAATGGTGCTTCACCATCTCACATTACTCTCTGTCAAAACCAAGATCCTGCTTGAGGACAGATTAATTTTTGCATTCTTTTTTTTCCATTTACATTTTAACTTCATGGCAGGTATCAAGGTCTTGTCGCCTGTAAAAGCAGAAGGTTTTTTGATGCTTGAATTCTGCTAACTAACCTCTAGGCTACGGCTAAACTACACCCCTCTGTCGGCAGAGATATAAATTAGATATATTGAAAGTGCAAATGAAGTGGGGATTTAAATATCCTGCTCCTTCATTTGCATAATGGCGTCTGCAGCTTTTTTTGAAATGGTGCTTTTCGAAAAAACCCCAGCAGTTTAGACGGGGCATTTTCGACAGATATGCCCCATTTTGAAAGATCCTGTACTCCTCATTTTTTGAGTACAGGATCTTTCGAAACGGGGCATTTCTGTTGAAAATGACCCGTCTAAACTGCTGAGTTTTTTTCAAAAAGCCACATTTTTAAAAAAAGCTGCAGCCGCCATTACGCAAATGAAGTGCGGGATATTTAAATCCCTGCTTCATTTGCACTTTCAATATGTCTAATTTACATCCCTCTGCTGACAGAGGGGTGTAGTTTAGATATAGCCCTACAAAGATAGAAAGGTATTGCTACTAACAGTACTGAGTCACTCGTTCAAATCTGGTCCACACTGCAAGTGACTGAAAATTATTACCAAATGATAATGCCTCAGGTGAAATTAATGTGATAGGCTCAGTCCACCTACACATTTGTACTGACCTATATACAAATAGGCAGATATACTTTGTACTGGCAGATATACAAATACACACTGCAGTTGGGATATATGTGATAAAATCCAGAGCTCTGTGACAAACTGTCACAAATTCGAATAAAAGCAGAATATCAAAATGCTTTATTTCTTTTTTTATACAAAATACTATTGAAATAGAGTTGTTATAGAAAATGTTTTATTATTGCCAAAAATTAAAAAAAAATGTCCAAATGGTATATCAAACCTTCATCACACATATCCTGGGATTTTGAAAGACTTCGGGGAATAGGAGTACAATGGGAGTTGATTGCCTTTAGGTTCTTTTGAAAATCCCTGCTTCCGGCTATAAAGTCTAAATTTAGATGAGAATAATTAAATAAGTCCTTTTTTTCATGTTTGAATAACAGCGACACCATAGCAGAACAACTACATAAATACAAAAATTAAAAACACTTACTGGAATTCCATGCAACTGTGGCTTGTCTATTAAGCTGTGTAGTTCATTTTTTGAAGCTTCTACTTTTTCTAAATCTGCTGCATCCACCATATAACTAAAATAGAAAAATTGTCACTTGTACTTTTGTCCATTACACATAGAAAACATTATAAAAATATCTGAAATGTGTCATATGTACCCACTCCTTCCCCTCTGATTAGATGATTTTTAAAACAGCAATTTTTACTACTTAACTGGGGGAAAAAAGAATTAAATACAGGCTGTGGAAAGACAGACATTTCTGGAAAATGTAACTGATTGCATGTAAAGGATGCTAGTTGTGCAAAATATATAATACATATGTTCCACGTCTTTTTACTGAATCACTCATCAAATCCAAACATAATTAAAATATTTCCGATATAACCTTCTCAGTTGATATGTGGTAGTTCCTGCCCATCTCCTATCAATATTGGTCAAACGGATACGAACCATTTGCACCAGACAAATATGGATGTAGGAGTCAAAATCTCTAGGAGTTAAATTAAGTATAGGGAATAATCTTGCACTAGTTAGGTGATTGATAGGATAAACAAAACAGTTATCTATCTCTCATAACTGTTGGTCTTCAAGATGTGTTGCTCATGTCCATTCCAAGCACGTGTATGCGTGCTGCATGCATGGTCACTAGAAGGTTTAGTTAGCTCAGGTGCCTTTTGAAGTTGCACCTTAATGGTGCTGCATATAAGGCCCTGCCAACACTCAACCTCTATAATTCCTTCTTGCCCATTTACTTTGACAGAGAGGAGGGTATGTGGATCTTGGCATGGACCTGAGAAATACATCTCGAAGAACAGTTATGAGAATTTTCTTTGAATTCTTGCTCGTGTTGATTCTAAGTAGATGACTCCCAACTCTTAGCTAAGAGACAGTGTTGGAGTTCACAGTATCAGTGACTGAGGCACATCTCTGCTGAACACTGCATCATCTCTAGCATGTTGGATAACGGCATAATGAGAAGTCAAAGTTTGGACTAAGGACCATGTCGCTGCCCTGAAGATCTCCTGGATTGGGTCCTGGCCAGGAGTGCTGCCAAGGAGGTCCGTATTCTTGTAGAATGTGCCATCAGTGTGGAGGGCAGATATCTTTGCCAAATCATAACATGATCTGATGCTTAGGACTCTGAGCACAGCAACTAGGAATGCTAGCATATAGATGAATAAACGATAAATTGATAAACCTAGGCTTATCAATTAATCCTATCAACTACACGCACTCATCCCCTTGCTGCCCCTACATCAGAGGCAGCAATGAGGAGGAATTGGGAGCCAGTGCCCATGAGGAGCTGGTTTTAAGCTGGTTTCCCACAAACACTGGGGGTGTGTCTAGACTACATGCCTCCTTCGACGGAGGCATGTAGATTAGCGAGATCGGAAGGGGGAAATGAAGCCGCGATTAAAATAATCGCGGCTTCATTTAAATTTAAATGGCTGCCCCGATCTGCCGATCAGCTGTTTGTCGGCAGATCGGGGGAGTCTGGACACGATGCCCCGACAAAGAAGCCTTTCTTCATCGACACAGGTAAGCCTCGTGAAACCAGGACAGCTCTGTCCTTTCTACTACTATAGCTTTGAAAATACAGAGTCTGTCCTAACATGAACCTGGATGTGCCTGTTCTCCCCACCACCACACTGCTGAGAGGCAGCAGTGCAGAGGGGGAGGGGAGGAAGGAGGGAGCCAATATGCATGGGGAGATGGTTTTCAAGCCAGTTCCATACACATATCAGCTCCCACAGATCCACCCACCACCCCTTGCTGCCTCCTATAAAAGCAGTGAGAGCAGGCAGGAAGAAGCTGGTGCTGAGATGTGCCTGTTCTCCCCACCACCACACTGCTGAGAGGCAGCAGTGCAGAGGGGGAGGGGAGGAAGGAGGGAGCCAATATGCATGGGGAGATGGTTTTCAAGCCAGTTCCATACACATATCAGCTCCCACAGATCCACCCACCACCCCTTGCTGCCTCCTATAAAAGCAGTGAGAGCAGGCAGGAAGAAGCTGGTGCTGAGGGAAGCCAGCTTAAAAGCCAGTTCCCTGCAGCACCAACTCCACGGTGCCACCTACCCCACCCCATGCTGCTGCCTCCATTAGGGGAGGGGATGGCATGGGAGGGGGCTGTGCAGCAGCCTCTGTCCATGGGGGGCGGGGGGTCCAAGCTCCCTACAGAGATTGCTCCACCTCCCATGGAGCATGGATATTATTTTTGTCACTGTAAAATTAAGCAAAATTGATAGAAGAATTATGGTAAAAAAATCAAGGTACAATCACAGCAACAAATATTGTGTAACAATTTAACAATAAAATGTTACAGTGTAACAGTTACATACAACAACGTTAATGCAATAGTTCATTTCCTTGTCATAGTAAACTATTTTGAAATTCTATATCAATATTGTGCAATCGTTTTTTAAACAAAAATAATAAAAAGCTATGTAACAAAAATCACTGATTCTTTTTTAGTAAAGTCCCTTTTACAAACTACTGCAATTTTGGAAAAGCATTTGGCATCAATATTGTTGACTGGCACTGCTAAGCATCTCAGGGTAATTGACAGAGCTGGGAATCTGGCCATCATGCTTATCTAGAATTGGAAAACATCCTGATTCCTCAACTCTTGAACTGCTCAACAGTAAGCCCAATACTCTCTAAATGCTGCAATTTTGTCTTCAAACAATGGCATAGGTTCAAATATCAAGGTGTTTTGCTTGATTTGGCTCAAATACATGGCATGCACTGAAGAAAGTGACCACAGATTGGTGAAAGCAGAAAGTTGTCAGTGTACATGTACATGCATGACTTTTTTTAAACTTTCCAAGACTACTGTTTTTGCTGTTGAGCATTGGCAAGAGTCAAAGCCCACAGCAAAGGATCGTGCACTTCATTTTTGACTTCATGAACATGAACTATGAGCTATTAATAAGCTGTAAGCATGTTCATGATTCAGAGTGCAAACTCTTTTAAAGTCTGGAGACCTTCAATAAATGCTGCAGACTGGCAAAGACAACTATCTCTTGAAATTTGAATTACTAGTATGACCATTCTCCTCTGTAAAAAATTAAACTTAATCCTCAGTATGATCATTGTGATGGAGAGCTGCATTGAACCAGTTCTTCCATGTGGTTATCACAAGGATTGGTGGGACGCAAATAAACAGTTCTGAGCTTTTCTGGCAAGGCAGGCAGTAAAAGCATGTTTTGCAGCAACCATTCATTTACTTTCAAAAGTATCTTCCTCCTCAGACTCCCCACAAAGTTAAGCAAATGTGCCATTCATGTAAGATAGGGGAGGGCAATAATTTTCAGAGGGAGAGTCACTTAATAAATTTTGCTACATAGTCATGGGCTAGCTCCATCCCCCAAAAGGGGCAGGGCCTGGAGCAGAAGGGGTGTGGCTGGGGCCTCCCCCCCCCCCGAAGTTGTCTGGGGCCAGAGGCTTTGAATTAAAGACACAGAATGGGCTTGTGGCTCCCAGCCCTGTCGCTATTACATTGCCTGGCAGCCAGCTGGGATTGCTGCCACTATTTAAAAGCTCGTGACTCTGGCACCTTCCAGCGTAACACTGCACTATGAGCCATGAGGCATTTAAATAGGATCTTGCTACCTGAGCCACTGCCTGGAAATTTGGTGGCACAGGTAGCAGCGATAAATAGAAAGTGGTCAGATGTAGCCCGCAGGCTGGACCAAAGTGTTACTCAGGCCGGATCCAGCCCCCGGGCTGCATCTTGCCCAGCCCTGATGTAAGATGTACAGCATTTAAAAATAAAGGTTTCATATGTCAGACCAAGCTTTCCCCTTGTAGATGGCATTATCCACAAATTCAGTGCTGGAATCCATCAGTATTGTGAATTTTTCAACAATTCCCCTTATTGCTCTGCTGTCTGGTTTAATATCAACTGCTTCCAAAACTTCACAATGTAACAAAAAACTATTCAGCTTGTATTCACCTATGTCTGAAGTGCTTGCCTTTCTTATAAAATTGACTGGTACATTGCACACCATGCAAAACAATTTTCCTCTACCTTCATGGAATGTTTTAGAGTACTGCTCTGGTTGCTGTTTAGTGCTTAATTTTGCTACTTTGCTATTGTTTTGCTTGCTTTATCCCAGTCTTATTTCAAATTAATGTCTGTAAGCCCTTTTACATGATACACAACTCTTACTTGTGAAATTCAATGAAGACCACATGATGTAACATTCTTAGTTACTGTTGCTAGGAGATTGACTGTAAACAGGGTAAGTGGTGGTGAATGCAAACAAATATTAGTGAGTTTATTTAGTTTCTTTTTTACATATTATTTCTGGTTTTACAAAAAAATAAATAAAAAACAGTTATACAGGCATGGAATGGTGCATTTTATGGTATTTTCACAGAACCAAACTGAAATAAACAGAAAAATTCAAGGGTTGCATAACAATGCTGACTATTGTAACAACTGTATTCCATAAATGTGGTTAATTCTTCTATTTGGGGAGGCAGAGACTAAATACTGAAAAAAGCTAGTCCAGATTTTAAAACTTTTATTTGTTTGTTTTTTGTTTTAAAGGTTTAAAGCACTGTGTACCAAGTTAAATTAAACCTATAAAAATGACAGAAAGCATGTACTTGTACAAAAGATGAAAATAGAGGAGGAATATCTGTAGGTGGAGGGAATTGAAAGTGGAAGTTGACAATATTACAAAACTTATTTAAATAATTGATTTGCAAAAAGATACATAAAGATGCTTACACAACTGCATTGACTCCTCTACAATAGCGCTCCCACATGCTTCGAAACCTTGGCTGTCCCCCAATGTCCCATACCTGGAGAAAAATGAAAGGTTTCCTATATTACTCTGGGTATGCCATTTGTATGAACAGAGATTTAAATATTAAAACATAAATTTTACGCTCATTTTTAATGTCTACCACATTAAGTTGTTCAATCACATTAACTATGTAATGTTATTTCTGGGTGTAAAGAGAGCAGAAGAAAGAACATATTAGTACTTCAGTGACATAAAGGAGAGACAGTACACACTTGGATGTAATTAGTGGATTAATCTGGCTAATTCTACTATCTCAATAGCTTTCACGTTTGATCATTGAATATGCTTTTAAAGCTATGAGGTCAAGATAAATAAGATAAATGGTAGCTAATTGCAAAGTTGTAGAACCACTCAGTGATAAGACATGACTCATCAATACACCACAGGAAAAGAAAAGTTCAAATATACATAAATTCTACCAAATGAGTTTGATAGGCTGAAAATAATCTCTCAAACCCAATGTTCGCTCTAACCTTTCCCATTCATGTGCAGATTATTTTCGATACATGTTGCTGAATAAATATTTTATGTGCACCGAGGCATGTGTGAATGAGTACTATGAACAGAACCACAAAACCTAGATGAGGGCGCTCTGCTAATTGCTTTGTAATTTTTCCTGAGCGGCTCCACAAGCATGCAATTTAATGGAAACACTGCAAGCCCCAATCCTGAAAACACTTATGCAGATTCTTTACCATATGCATGTGAGAAGCCCCATTAACATCAGTGGAAGCAAACACCACTGGAATTCTTTGAGATGTTTTGTCATTAGAAGAGTGTACCCATGAACCTTCTTATCATAGGTTTTTGGTATCATTGTCTGTGTGGTCCATCCCCAGTACATTTGATATATAGTGGGGAGCAAACCCAATGCCACTCCAATCCCTTCTCCAGGAAGAAATCCTTTCAGAAACAAGGACAATGAAGCAGACAAGACGGGTGGTTAATGGAGCATCCATAGGGATAAAAGAGATCAAAGAAATCCAGTTACAGTACAAGTAAGTAAGCAACCTCTTCTTCTTTGAGCAGTTGTCCCTATGAGAGCTACACTTCAGGTAACTCTCAAGCAGACTCCAAACTATGGGAACAGGTGCTGAATAGCTGAATCTAGTACAGATTTCAAGAACAGCCATTTCAAAAAGTTCATCTGCCCTGGAAGCATACACGATAGTGTAGTGTCTGGAAAAAATGTGAACAGATGCGCAGGTGACAGCTTTACCATAGTCTGTGATGGGAGTCTCCTTAAGCGGGGTGACAGATTTGGGCTGCACTCTGGTGAATGGGCAGCCAACTTTACAGGGGCATTGTACTCCAGACATTTTGTAGCATGGAATTATGCAACCAAAATCCATTTTGATAGTCTGAAATAGGGGCTCCCTTCATTGGTGTCTTCTAAAGAGACAAAAGCCTTAAGAAAGGTTTTAAAGGTAGACCATAAGATCTCTTCTAAAATCCATAGTGTGAAGACTTTCTACTTTCTTCCAGGTTTGTGAGGTTTAGAAGACTGACAATTGAATGTCTTGGAATAGTCTCTTTGTCATGGTAAAATATAATATGGGATGGATCCTCCACAAGGGCTCCCAATTCCACTACGGTCTTATGAACTATGAGGAAGGTTTTGAAGGACAAATGGAGGAGGAGGAGTAAATGTAGGATGGTCTCCTTAAAACACTGAGAATGAGATCTATGTCCCAAGATAGCACAGGGTCTCCAATGTGTGGGAAGAGGTTAGTGAAGCCCTTAATGCATCTAGACATCATGGGATTCGCAAACACTAAAAGCTCATCAACAGGTAAGTGATGAACTTTGATGAAGCTGAGTGACAAATCTGATGTTTTTAAACTCAGTAGTGAGTCAAATATATGCGTGAGACATGATTGGAAAGAAACAGTGCCTGCTGGATTGTCCAGGAGTGGAATTACTTCCATTTTGCAAGGAAGTCTCTCTCATGGACTGTTTTCTACTCTTTAAAAGAACGTTCATATTTAGAAATATCAGTCTGTAGGTCTGCCGTCAGAAGTATGAGAAGAGGCAGGTATGCTCAGGCTGGTGCTATGAAGATAATCTCAGCTTCTCATTAGATCTTGTTCAGGACTTAAAGAAACAACAGTGTGGGGGAGGAAGGAAATACACATACAGCAAAGTTCATGGCAAAGGAATGTGGAAAGCATCTCTACTACAGCAGTGCCTACCTCCCAGAGACCACAGTCAGGAGCTTGGGCTATGGTTTGGAGTTTGAGGTCAGGGGCCAGGAAAGGGCCACTGCCAGGAATGGAGCCAAAGCTGGGGCCAGGAGCTGAGGCCGTGGTCCAAAGGTGATCCCGTCTTGTCCCACATAGGGGCTGGGTTGGGCCCCGCTACACCACCCCAAACATTCCTCTGTGCCCCATAGGGAAACCAATGTATTAGGGAATTGTGGCTTTGCTCTCCTCTCAAGTAAACTTTTTGGCCCACTGCAAGGAGGTCTATCTCAGGGAATACCTAAGTGAAGAATATTTCATGTAGGATTGGATTCTTTGGCTCCCATTCATGGTCCTGGAAAAAATGTATGTTATAATTTTGCAGACCTGATTGACATCTTAGCAGCATACCTACTTAGTGATTTATGCACCAATTCCATAGTTTTATTTTCTATGTGCACAAGGACAGATTTTACTCCCTTTGGTAGTTTATGTAATACATAGCCACTCTGTTTGTTGTCTGTCATGTTCCCAACCAACTTGCTCTGGCTGCAATAAGTGGCTGCATACATAATGAATTACTCTGAGACAGATATATTGGTGTGTATGGCAGACTCCTGAAAAGTCTATCACTCCTGAGCTATAGAGTCTTGGAGGAAAGCCTCGACCCTAACTTTGAGAGATCTATGGTTATAATCTTTATTGGGGTAGGATGCATGAGTGGGACAAACTTTGTGAGGATCCTTGCACAAGTTGGACGAGTTGTATTTATTTGGTATGTAGACAGTCCTAAACCAGGCTGGAAAGCATCAGGAATATAGTCTAGCATGATGTATTATGAATGTTTAGGCTGCCATATATCTCCGTAGTTGCAGGCAAGTGCTTGCAATGGCTTGGGGTCTCAGCTGGAGCCTGGAGTTGAGGCTGAACATAGTGATGAACCAGTCCATAGGTAAATAAACTTTGGCAGTCATGGAATCCAGGGTGACCCCATGAACTCAATGCACTGAAGAGGTATCAGAGTGGATTTATCCTTGTTATGCCCCAGCAGCAATGAGTAGGGAAGGACATAGGGTCTTCTTCACAGACTGAATCTCAAGCAAGGGCCAAATCCCTGAAAAGCCAGTCACGTAGACAGGGAAGACCACTATAATCAATTACCAGTTAGGCCACCTCTACCAAGACCACCTTCACAAAGATTTTTGGGAAAGTTGAGAAGCCAAAGAGAAGTACTCACTACTGATAGCTCTCATTGCTAATGACAAACTGCAAGAAGAGTTAGTGATGCATCTAACTCACAATGTAAAAATATGAATCTTGAAGATGAAGGGGCTCAAACCAGTCCCCGGGATCTAGCAATGGTACTACTGCTGTAGGGATCGTGTCCTGATCATCTGCTTTTCTTTAAACTGTGCTCAATATTTTGAGATACCCAAGAATAAAGGAGGATGAGGACCAGTCCTGTATCTGGAATGGATCATTTTCCAGTGAAGGAAGTGGAACTATTTTGATCACCTCCAAAAGCAGAGGAGACTGTTTTAAATTGCTGAGTGCCAAATCATTTTATTTTAAAAATTAGTGAAAATATTTTAGTCAGAGAAACAAGAAATGCTAGATTAGTTTTTATTGTTTCTCTTAAAGCCAACCCAGTGGGATAACTCTTAATACTTAGTCACGTGAGTTCTTTTGCATACCTTAGTCTTGATCATTGATCATTATTTTGGTCAAGTGGACCTTGTTGGTTATTAATAGCCAAATAGCTTATAATTAGAGAAAAAGGCAACCTTAATTAAATTCTATAAAATTGAAGAAAATATTTAAATTTGTTACTCAGAAGAAGAACCCATTTAAGATGTTATCTAAAGACAGGCCAATTAATCAATATTAAGAATCTTAAATCCAATTAAATCCCACTATTTTCTCTTATTTACCAATGTATAGCTCCTGTTTCCTAATCAGTAATATTTGGTATAGCCATATGGTAATTAACATGAGAAATAGTGATTTAAGTTAAAACAGTTTTTTCATACCCCAATATAGCTTTCTTTGATATGATAACGAGTCTTGTGTATAAGGGAGAAGTGGTGGATGTGGTATACCTAGACTTTAGTAAGGCGTTTGATACGGTCTCGCAGGATATTCTTATCAATAAACTAGGCAAATACAACTTAGATGGGGCTACTATAAGGTGGGTGCATAACTGGCTAGATAACCATACTCAAAGAGTAGTTATTAATGGTTCACAATCCTGCTGGAAAGGTATAACAAGTGGGGTTCTGCAGGAGTCTGTTTTGGTACCGGCTCTGTTCAATATCTTCATCAATGATTTAGATATTGGCATAGAAAATACGCTTATTAAGTTTTCAGATGATACCAAGCTAGGAGAGGTTGCAACTAATCTGGAGAATAGGGTCATAATTCAAAATGATCTGGACAAATTGGAGAAATGGTTTGAGGTAAACAGGATGAAGTTTAATAAAGACAAATGCAAAGTGCTCCACTTAGGAAGGAACAATCAGTTTCACACATACAGAATGGGAAGCGACTATCTAGGAAGGAGTACGGCAGAAAGGGATCTAGCGGTTATAGTGGACCACAAGCTGAATATGAGTCAGAAGTGTGATGCTGTTGCAAAAAAAGCAAACATGAATCTGGGATGCTGTGACGGGGCAGAGGCGCCCCGCACTCCAGTCCCGCCGGCGGCCGCTTATCTGGCAGCCCCCGTGCGAGAGGGCAGGGTAGCGGCGTCGGGCGCACCGCGTGACGCGGGCCGAGTGCCGCAGGGGCTGGCCTACCGGCTATGCGGCAGCTGTTC